AAAACACAGAGGCTCTCCTTAATGAAATTATGAAAGAGAACTTTCCAGACATGCCAAGGGATCCTAAAATTCAGATAGCAGACAGATTCAGAACCCCAGAACGACTCAACCCGAACAAGACATCCCCCAGGCATATCATAATCAACTTCACTAAAGTTAACATGAAAGAGAAAATCCTGAAAGAAGCTAGACGCAAGAAAACATTAACTTACAAGGGGAAGAATATTAGAATGACAGCAGATCTCTCTGCTGAAACCTTTCAGACTAGAAGAGGGTGGTCATTGACCTTCAACTTCCTAAAACAAAACAACTTTCAACCCAGAATTCTCTATCCAGCTAAACTGAGCTGCATTTATGATGGAGAAATTAAATACTTTAATGATATTCACATGTTGAAGAAATTTGCCATTAGTAAACCAGCCCTCCAGGATATCCTCAAACCTATCCTCCATAAGGACCAATGCAATCCTCCACCACATAAATAAACCCACCCAGAAAATTTTGACCGAATTCCAATCTCCACAGAGACAAAAGGATCAAAGATGTCCAATGAACCTTCAAAAAACTCGATACCCAAATTTTTCCCAGGATTATCAATAGTCTCAATCAATGTAAATGGTTTATACTGCCCTCTAAAGAGGCACAGGCTGGCTGACTGGATACAAAAACTCAAGCCAGATATCTGTTGCATCCAAGAAACTCACCTTATTTTGAAAGACAAGCATAGACTCAGGTGAAGGGATGGTCATCTATATTCCAGGCTAATGGAAAGTAGAAAAAGGCAGGTGTTGCAATATTATATGCAGATACAATAGGTTTTAAACCAACAAAAGTGAGCAAGGACAATGATGGTTACTTCATATTTGTTAAGGGTAGCACTCAATACAACGAGATTTCAATTATCAATATTTATGCAACCAATCAGAATGCACCTCAATTTTTAAGAGACACTTTAACAGACATGAGCAACCTCATTATTCCCAGCTCCATCATAGTCGGAGATTTTAATACCCCTTTGGCAGTGCTGGACAGATCATCCAACAAGAAGCTTAGCAAAGTAATTCTAGATTTAAACCTAACCATTCAGCATCTGGACTTAATGGACATCTATAGAACATTTCACCCTAATAAAACTGAGTACACATTTTATTCATCAGCCCATGGAACATACACCAAAAGAGATCACATCCTAGGTCACAAGACTAACCTCAGCAAATTTAAAAGAATAGAAATTATCCCTTGCATCTTCTCAGACCACCACGGAATAAAAGTTGAACTCAGAAACAACAGGAACTTGCAGAACCAAACAAAATCGTGGAAGCTAAATAACCTTATGCCCAATGACACTTGGGTCAAAGACGAGATCAAGAAGGAAATTACCAAATTCTTGGAACTAAACAACAATGAAGAGACGAGTTATCAGAACCTCTAGGATACCACAAAGGCAGTCCTAAGAGGGAAATTTATCGCACTGCAAGCCTTCCCCAAGAGAACGGAAAGAGAAGAAGTTAACAACTTAATGGGACATCTCAAGCAACTGGAAAAGGAAGAATACTCCAAACCGAAACCCAGCAGAAGAAAAGAAATAACCAAAATTAGAGAAGAATTAAATGAAATTGAAAACAAAAGGATTATACATCAGATTAACAAATCAAAAAGTTGGTTTTCAGAAAACGTCAATAAAATAGATAAACCTTTGGCCAACCTAACCAAGAAAAAAAGACTTAAATCTCCAATTTCTTCAATTAGAAATGGTAAAGACGAAATCACTACAGACCCTTCAGAAATTCAAGAAATCCTCCACGAAAACTACAAGAAACTTTATTCTCAGAACTATGAAAACCTGAAAGAAATTGAACAATACTCGGAAGCACGCCTCCTTCCAAGATTTAACAAGAACCAAGTGGAAATGTTGAACAGGCCCATATCAAGCTCTGAAATAGCAGCAACTATACAAAATGTCCCTAAAAATAAAAGCCCAGGACCAGATGGCTTCACGTCAGAATTCTACCAAACTTTTAAAGAAGAGCTAATACCTATATTATTTAACCTCTTCCAAAATATAGAAAAAGACGGAATACTACCCAACACATTCTATGAAGCAAACAACACCTTGATCCTCAAACCATGTAAAGACCCAACAAGACAAAAAAAATTATAGACCAATATCCCTAACGAATATTGATGCAAAAATGTTCAACAAAATCCTAACAAAAAGAATCCAGCAACACATCAAGCAAATTATACACCATGACCAAGTGGGTTTTATCCCAGGATCTCA